CCATCACGCTTATTCTTTAACAATTAGTTATTGCTGTGGAACTTCCTATATCGACTAGAATCAAAGTATAAAAACAATAAAGGTTCGATTTGTATCCGGACCACGTCCATCAGGATTCGCTGCCAACAATTTATGCAAAAACATAAGGGCCGTCTTTAAAATAAAAATCGTATTGTTCGCCAATGTTCCGTTTTCCATTTTGCTCAGAAGGAATGCTTTACACTTATTAATACTGATATCCTGTTAAGCCTGCAGCCAAATAAGCAGCGAATTTTTCATTTACTTTGTTCTTAAGAAACGGTCGCTGTTATGGGCATCGCCTTTACTGATCTAACGTTCAAGTTCAATAACAATAGCACTTCGGATTGCGGAGTTTCGTCACGAACGCAAACAATTTTATGAATCGACGTAAAACTTGTTTTTCGTTTTATCGCATTATAATTTTTTGTGCATTATAAATATTAATCCATTATAGTACAACAATCGGGGATTACCTTTTTACTAGGGCTATACAGTATACCGGGCGCGAGAAACAGGAGAAAAATAATTTTATCTCTCTTTTGGTAGACAGCAAACAATTTAGAAATCTTGCAATGAATCTTCAGTTTTGTAAAGATAAACAAATAATTTGTTAAAAACAAGTAAATAGGTTGTGCTAGGTCTATGAGTGTTCCTTGACACAGAAAAATAATAGAAATTATCAACAAACTGCTCACTATTATGTTTTATTCCCGAGATAAACAATGCTTACATTTAAAAATATTAAATTAAATTAGTATTATTTAACATATTTGTTATCAAATTGATAAATTAATGTAAATTTTCAAAAAGTCCTTGCCCAATAATCTCGTAGCAAATCTATTCAGTCATGAGCCATGTATAATCATTTTAAATTCTCAAGAGCGTTTGGATTAGCAAGAGCTACGATGAAATTTTTGGCATAGTACGTTGTACTTATTTTTATAATAAAAAATACTCTATTTACATTACTGTTTTGTCAATCTGCAACTCCGTATTTGATAAGTGAATGAAAATTAACATAATAAAATCATTTAAGTACGTCTGGCCTGAAATATTTGGACATAAATTTTAAAAGCTGTCTAGTTCCTAATTCGGCATGTAAATGGACAATATGTAAGACCACCTCTGACGTTTGAAGATATTAAACGAAAAGAACGTTTGATTTAGTGAGGATTTTGTCTTGTGGTTGAAGAAATGTACATTACGCACAATTTGCAATAATTTTTCTACTACAGCAAAATATATGTTTTAAATTAAACTTCTCTTATTTTATGAAAGAAAGTGCTCTATTAGTCAATATACTCACAATACTCAATGAGAAGTAAACGAGATAATATAATGAGGTCAATTCACAGAGGAATTGCCGTCAATAAGGGGTCAACTTAAATAAATATCAACCCCTTGAAATCCTGAAATAGAAAGAAATTATGTTTGTCGACATAGTTGAATTGGAAAAATACATTTAACATATTTCCTGTTGATTTAGTTAATCACTTCCCGAGAGAAAACTATATTGCATACAGATGGAACACCTCGAGGTTACACTCAATTGTCAAAATAATTGATTTGAAAGAACTGGATAAGGAGGCGATGATAAGAGAATATTTTATTTAACTACCTGTTATTTACAGCTTGGCCTTTAGGCAGTCATATTCTATATCCAGCTATTTTATTACACTCTAACAAATTAATCGTTGTCATTCATTTCAATAATTAAATTGCTGTTGTATCTATTTACTACTACTCATTTATCCGTCATACAGGGTGTTAAAATTGTTATTTTGAAGAGGTGTTTGCTTAAATAGGCTAAATATAAAGATGTCGAAATTTGTTCAAGAGTCGGTATCAATTGTGGTTTAAGAAAAACGTGCAAACCATTTTATTCCCAATAGCAGAGGCGAAGATGTGGATAGTTTGAGGGGTATAACTGAAGGAAAAATATATTTAAGTCAAAATATGTGAAAATTACTAATTTTTTGCATTAGTGTGTTAAATATTTACATTACGCATTAGTGACCAGTGCGTAGTGTACAAAATAAATTCTTAACCCCATATCTTTGTACATTACGTATTTTCGATGAGTGAATTGACAATTATTGTTATTTAATTAGCAGTTATTTGTAGTTTTCCACAGAAGGAAAAACAAGCCTTTCCATCTACGGGGTGTTAAATTATTTTGAAGAGCGTTTTTCTTAAATCAGCTAAAAATAAAGATGTCAAAATTTGTTCACGATCAACTGTTGATTAAGAAAAACGTGCAAACCATATTATTTCCGATAGCAGAGGCGTAGATGTGGATGTTTGAGGGGCATATCTGAAGGAAAAAATTTCTTAAACATTCTAAGAGCTTTGCAAAAACAAAAAAGGTAAGTAAATTTAAGATACTGAAATATTTAACTTACGCATTAGTGTACAGTGCATAGTAGTAACAATGTAAATTCTTAACCCTATATCTTTAATCATCCATGTATTTTCGATGGGTAGATTGATAATTATTTTTTACTTAGCACCTATTTATAGCTTTCCATAGAAGGAAAAAACAAGCCTGTTCGAATGAGGGTATTTAATATACGAGTCAATATCAACTGTGGTTGAAGAAAAACATGCAAACTATTTTATTTCCAATAACAGAGGCGTAGATGTGGATGTTTGAGGGGCATAACTGAAGGATAAAATAGGTTACAAACCAAAATTTCTTAAACATCTTAAGAGCTTAAGAGCTTTAAAAAGGCAAGTAAATTTAAAATATTAACATGAAAGAGTGTATTACTATGGATTCAGTATTTGACAACACAAATTTTAATTGCTACAAGATACCTATCAAGAAATGAAATTGTAAATCCATGAAAATACGATGTTCTAATTTCAATATTTACCTCAGATTAACAAATAATAGAAAAAATATTTAAGGGCGCATATTTTAACAGATCTGGCAAAGTACAACAGAACATCGATAATCCGAATGTAGGTAATTCGAATCCTTCACTAATCCGAACGACCTAAAACCCGATTCTGATTGCCATACTCAATTGAAAATAACGTGGCCCAGTGTTTTTTTTCTGGTTTTGAGCGTTGAATTACTGAATCCTTACTTTGTGTGTTCATGCGAGCAATATTGGATAATCCGAACTCTTTGATAATCCGTACTACCCTTAGTCCCAATTAGTTCGGATTATCGAAGTTCTACTGTATGTTCTAATATATTTAGATACTGAACACCTTATGAATATGGGGCAGTTAAACATGTCCTGATAAATGATAACCGATAACTTCAGACCATACATTAATAGCAACCTGATGTTGGGAATGGTACGCAGTTGTTGCCTTTGAATTGAATTCAAGCAATTCATCTTACAATTATTGTGCTTGAACTTTCTTCAACGGCATTTAGAAGGTCTTCCACGTCTGCAATCCTTACAGATCGTGATCTAAAAAGGTACCTTTTTCTCGAAATGTTTGATCAGAAGTGATGGGATCAGGAACTGATAGGATATTTAAGAAATTTTGACTTTTAAAATATTTTTCCTTTAATTATACCCCTCAAACTACTGGCAGCGACGCCACTGTTACTGGAAATAAAAGAGTTTGAAAGAATTTTTTAAGTAGTACATATTAAGACCTAAAAAGATAGTACAATTCAAAGATGCAATAAAATATATGATAATAATTAAAATTAACGAAATTGGTGTCGACTTTGTGTACCGGGTGTGTCGTAAAAAACCGCCGCAAGCTAAATATGCTCAACTCCGTCATTTCCGGTTCGACAAAAAAATACAAATTATTGGCATTAAAGATTCTAAAAATAACCGAAACTAACACCACCATTTTCTTTCAACCGGTATTTCTGTACTTTACAGAGATTTTTTGCTGCATTCAGTATATCATAACTTGATTTTCGCGAAATTATCACTAAACGTCAAGTACATTTTTCACTTATGTGACAGTGATTAAAGCTTTGCAAATTTAACCAAAATATTAGTGATTTTTTCAAAATATTTTGGGTTGTGAATTTTGCTCTAAATAATCTTTTAGCCTGCTTCTAGCTTACTTGTATTTTTCGTGTTAAGCTTTCCGTATAACTAAACTACAAATTTTTGTTATACAGGATGTTGTTGAATTATCTTAAACACGTAATTAAATAAAAAAATGTTTTAATCTTTTTAGCACCTATTTTCGTGGACACAAAATTTTTGTGTTGAATTTCCGTATAAATTTAAAAGATCCTACACATAGCCTATAAATTGTAAAATAATAGTCCATAGTTCATTAATTTCCCAAGAAAAATATAATGTTTTAACAAAAAAATATTTAAGTCACAACGGGATATCACTGCCAGTATTTTCACTTGAAAATAATAATCTTACGGTATAGATATATCCACTAAAAAATATGTTTCTGTTTTTCATTCAGACATATTTTATATATAATAGTCGGTGATTTAATGTATCTTGATAAATATACCACATAATTTTAATAGGCTTGTATGTGCAATATGTAGAATACTAAGTAAGTGAGTAAACTCCATTTAATATACAGAGTATTTTAAACCAAACTGCAAATTCCACATAAATTTTTTAATGCAGATGCAGAATACACATAATATTCTGCATAAACCACTTTTAATTTAAAAAATTGTCTTCAAAGTTATGAAACAATGCGTACTTGTTAATATTGAAGATTAAATAATTAACGATTTACACTATCTAGTTGTGCTGTTTGTGTTGGTAATTTGTAGTTCAGCAAATGTTAGAGAAAAGCAATAAGAAGTCAATTAAGTAATGTCCATAAACAGGCACGACAATATATTAAATATTTACATTAAGTAAGTTATTTTACTGTTTTTATTTTATCATTAATCAGCATCAAATTTCAAGTATTTATAGAATAATTAATTAATCTAATTAATTGAATCGATTTTATTAGTGTTAATGATATATTCGGTAGCAAGTAGATTAGTTAGAATCGAATGGAGTACTTACTTGATTGTTTATAAGCAAACCAAAGGTTGATCGTTCTTAGGCCTTAACACCCCAATCACCACTATAACTAATTATACGTTTTTTGAGCTGCCGAAGATGAACCGGAGCCACGTGACACGACAATGAACACTCGCACGCGTGTTATGTATTGTAAGACTCTGTCTGTTATTGCTTATAGTTATAGCATCCTGTCCAAAAATGTAATTATGGTATTCTGCGGTGTTCATAGAGAGAAATAAACATTAAAATTATCATCAATCGATAATAAGTAGTTTAAATGCATGAGGCGTATCTCTTGCCAGATTTGTTGGATGGATATTGTGTTCGGATAAATTATGCAGGTATTAATAATCAATTGTTTGTACTTAATCCGAACTGCCTTCCCTGACAAGGTGGTTTAATAATTTCAACTCGGATCCCAAACCGCAAGGGACTTCATGCAAATTGTCAAGAGCACAGCCGCAAACTCTCTTAAGTCTCAAAATTTCTAACTTAGAAAATCGATACAAACGGAAACAACTTTTGCACTATATATTTTGGTTGTCCACTGGTGCAGGTTTGGAAATGGTGGTCACAAACCTTCTTGATATTGGTGGAAAAATTTCGCTACTGTTTCAAATCGAGAATTATGTATTTTTACTGAAATGCTGACATCCTATATCTTTATAGATCCTAAGCGAAGTCAAGTAATAGCATTTCAATTAAACTTGAGTGTAACTATAGTAGAAAACCTAAAGAACCTAGCGATAGAATTTTATAAAATTTTCAAATCAGTAAAGATGTATAAAATAAGTTTAGATGTCTAAATGGATTATTTATCTATCTTTGCTTGTTTTCTATAAAAAGAAACATGGCACTACATTCTTTCGTTTCTTGACCAGTCAGTTTCCAGCTTAAGCGTTTCCTTTCGTATCATATGCGTGCAAGTAGAAAAACGCTTATTATTTTCACTCTTTAGTTATTCTAGTGTATTTAAAATCATCATACATAGGAAAAATACCTACCAGGGGACTTAATCTCCGCGGAGTTTGTTCTGACGTAAAGAATTGTGAAAATTTCTTTGTAACATTCCCTCAACTGAAATGAAATAACATTTTTGTTATTCTTTCCTTTTCGCAAAGTTTTTAGTGCTTAGTTTCGTTGAATCCTCAAATATTACTAATATTATTAGTTTCGTGGAAGTCGCAAATATGAATATATTGAATTGATTAATAAAATAATTATTTCGTTGTAAGTGGCGTTTTAAACATTAATTTGACTGACTCAACTGTTTATAGTGAACATTAAATGACACAGTAGCAAAACCTCTATGAGTATGCATTTAGGTGTTAACACACAAACCACATCCAAAACCACATATGTGATACGCTATATATAGAAATAGTAGAAAATCGTAATGTTATTCCTTTAATTTGATTGTTTCCTAATGACTTAGATCCTGGTTATAATTTTTTAGAAACAAATGCGATTTTGCGTATCATCAACTTTAATACACATTGATACATTTTGTAATATTTTTACGGTAACCAAATTTTCGACCCCCTTATTACGGTCCTTCAACAATTTGGCGTTTCTTTCGTGTCCATAAATATTTATCACACAAGGTATTACTCAGGCTATTAGCGCTAAAAAGTTCAGTGACATTAAGGGTTGTTGCTTTTAATAACGCAGGAATTTATAAAATTATATTTACAGGAGTTATTGCAAATAAACATGAACGTACCAAAAAACGTTTCGAAACTAAAATTATAAAAAATATATTTATTTTTAGATATAGATTGATAACAGTGTCTGACTTGTTCAAATCTACATTAATATTAAAATATTGTTAAATAAAAAACAACCCCTTTTTAGCAAACAGAAAATTATTTTCTTAAAAAATACAAATTTATACACGTTTTTAAATATTTAACATGTTTCCTTAACTCCTGAATATCGTAGAACTATTCTTGTAGACTGTAAAGACAAATTCACAATCGTTTCTATGACTTCAATAAACATAAATAATTCCAGTTTACAATTCTCAATGGAATGAGATATTATAGATTCATACTTAAGCGACCACATGCTCTACTTTTGGTCGCCGTCAGCATTGCCAACTTAACATACAAGACATAAGAGAATTAACAATATAAATGTAATGCAGGATAGAATTGTAAACCTTACAGAAAATAAGTCATCGTTTCCCTATTTTTATATGATTTTGGGAAATTGCATTGAAACATGATAAACAAAGCAAACATTTTATTTACTGGGCTCTATTTTATCTTTATGCATCTATATGCATCTATGGTATTTCATTTCTGGGAACGATTATTATTTGCCACAAATGTTTTTAAAAAATTCTTATACCCCATACTGAGCAGATTAGCGAAAAGGCGCGTAAGAAGGAATGCCGTATTATTATTTTCTGGGCATTTTTTATTTACCTACTGATTAAACGTTTGTTAAAGAGAGCTTTGATTATTAAGCTCGTGTTAAACTATTATAATTTTTGAAATTTTATCGGTGTTAAAATCACAGTAAACATGCGTGTAGAAGTGCAGTAGTTATGGAATATAAAGGTTGTGCCGTTTATATTTAAAAAGCCCGCGGTGTGTCTGGGAAAAAAGTGACGTTGCATTTTTGTTACTTTGATGAAGGATCTTCGTACATGTGAAAATTTATTAATCCTACTGCCAATAAAGAATGTTACTACGGATTAAGTATAATTTGACAATAAACCCACTGCTATTGGAAATAAAATGACTTGAGTATAAATACCTTTTTTTCTGAACGTACGCGTTCCCGTTCATTTTTTTAGCAACTTTGATATTTCCCGTTAATTTTTTTAGCAACTTTGATATTTAACATTTAACCACCGCTGATGGCAGTAAAGAGTGATAAACTCTGCAATCAATGACTGTCATCGAATATTATGATACATATTTAATACGTTTTGAGACCTGGGGCTAAAATTAAAGCGATATCTAATGAAAATTTACGCAGAATCTTTTATGTTATATACCTATAAGTCGATAGTGCATGAGTGTTTTGAAACGACGCAATTCTAGAGAAGGGGATAATCATTCAAGCATTTTTTTTAGCGATGAAGAGTCGCATATCTCGAGGCCCGATAGAAAATATATTTTACTATATTAATCAGATTTTTGTGACCAGCTCTGTTGCATGTAGGTTTTATACATTTTTGACAATATGCCAAGCGTCGAACGACTGATTATACAATCACAATGATTACTGATAATAATTTCAGACAATACAGCGATTAATATGCCGTTCTCTCGCTTAAAAATATATACAAGAAACATCCACATTCTTTCTGCATTACTAATGCCAAATAGTGTAGCGAATAACTTCGTATATTTAGATAATAAAGAAAAATATATAATTTGATGTCGAGAAATTAGATATTAAAATTTATTTTGTCTACCACAGCTCGAGCTCGATGTGCTCTACACAAAAAAATCAAATTATTTACGTTTTAATATTGCATGATGATGACAGTACTGACAACTGTTATATAAAATGTCACCTCATGGCGGTCCAATTGCCAAACTGACACTGATTCAGCAATACCATAAACACATAAAAATTGTGGAAATTTACATAGGCTTTTTACGTATTTGTACTGGATTTAGGGCACTCCGGAATTGAACATCCTGTGTATCATAAATGTTTCGCACCCTATACGAGCATTTATAAAGTCTAAAAAGTGACTTTGTACCTTACGAGAATTTCTCAGATATTTACAGTAGCCTTCTTTTTCAAAAGAAGGTAGGTATTGAAATGAAGCTCCCACTGACATATTTATCGATGTATATTTAAAGTTCTGCGCTGTTGGCAAACTAAAACATAAATTTATAGGTGAGAAATTCATATTTTTTCCATATTTTTATTATTAGTAGGTATAATTTAAAATAATATTGTCGAAAGTAAAATACAAAATATTTTTCAGTATTTTAATTATATTCATTTATGTTTGTCTCTAGTCTTTTCAGCAATCAATGAGGTAGAAGGTGCGGTGAATTATTATTGTGTGTGTTTACAACACTGGGCATTGTTATACTTTGAGCTAACAATGCATGATTCTTTTCAATTTTATGTTTCAATGGGAGGTATACGAATTGAATTAAATTTATTTTTAAATAATTCTGATGTCGATAAAAAGTTCTAAATTTGAAAAAAAATCCATTATAAGTTACGTAATTTTTGAGCCAAAAATAATTTATGACGCTCTATAGCTTCTATCTAAAAATCGTAAAAAATAACATATTGTATTTGTTTCGTACATAAGCTGGTTAGCAAAAAAATAAACTTTTAGATCTTAAAATAATTAAATAGCCATAGGAGGACGTTGATGCTATATTTAAAAACTTGTGGTTGTTCTGCAGCTAATACAGGGTGTTTGTAAATAAGTGCGAAATATTTTAGGGGGTGGTTTTTGTGAAAAAATGTTTATATATACGTAGGTCGAAATATGCTTCGTTTCCGAGATACAGTGTTTAAATTTTAATTTTTTATTTTTGTTAATTATTTCAGTTTTAAAGATATTGACTCGAAATTTGAAAAACGGTTTGGAGAGATAAATGTGCATTTTTTGGGGTGATCCGAATATTTCTACATGCACCAGTGGCGTTCGTGCGAGAATACCAATAAAAAAACGTACGCCATTGACTTTTCCACTTTTGATATTTTTTTAGAAATCCGCCATGAATTCTTAATGAAATTGGTCTCTTCATTTTTTTTCCTAGGATGGCCCGTTTTTTTTTTTGAGGAAAAAATATAACAAATTTTACTGCAAGTTGTGTATTTTTAATTTCTATTGATACATTATCTAGTAGGTTGCTGTCAATATGTTCTAAGCAAAATTCAAATTTCGGATCAATATCTTTATAACTGAAATAATTAATAAAAATAAATAAAAAATTTTAATTTAAAAACTATCTGGGAAATGCAGCATATTTCGACCTACATTATGAACTTTTTTTCACAAAATAACTTCGGCAACTACCCCCTAAAATATTTCGCACTTACTTACAAACACCCTGTGTAACTGGCAATCTAGATGTATGTATACAAATTTTCTATAGGTAAAACTGTTCTTCAAAATTACATGTCCCAAATCTGCCACGA